AGAAGTGTTAACATTAGTATCGTTTTTATTAAATTTTTTATTATAACACTGATTATATATCTGGATACAACAAGATGTATTTTTACAACAATTTGAAAAGCATTTGTTGTATATCTTATACAGTATATAACTAAAAATACTGGCAATTACAATATAAGTAAGCGTTGAATAATAATGCCCGTATTTAACAATATGAGGCTGATTCTCGGCTTGATGAATTTGATTCTTTAAACTATCTAATTTATATGACGCTAATTTTAACGATTCCAAATCAATATCTGTTAGCGTAATTGGGTTTAGGACATTAGAACTGTGGTTCAATAAATTGCATTTGCAACAATTATCTTCAACTATGTTAAAATCGATTGGTATTTGGCTAGGCAGCACGGACTTATAATTATGCGATGGGTGAAATTGCAATGTTTGGTAATATGCAACGCAATCATTTTTTAAAGATAATATACCAGTGCCTTGTACGGTATAATCCGAAATCTTATTATTATTTGTACATTTAACAGTCAATTTATTTGGTTTAGACTGAACATAAATAAATCGTCCATCACTAAGTTTTTGCCATAAATTAATATTACCATATATTATTTTCGAATCGCATGTTTCTGGAAGTGACATGATTACTTCAGTCAAGAGTTGAGTTTCACAGGTTGAATTATTAATTGTGGACAAAACAGAAGGTGATAAACATATCATAAACTTATTGTTAACGTTTTTACACTCACTTAAACTATCAAACAATGCGTAATTTAATCTATCATCCGTAAGGGCTACATACAGCTTGGAAGGATGAATGAGAACATAAGTTTGTAAATTATACTTATCATACTGTGTAGGTAATGGTAAAATCTTGTAAATATTAAACTTAATAGGGTTAATTAAAGGAATTCTTATAACAAATACTATCTTATTATTATAATAATACGAAGTTAATTCGGCTAAATCAATAATTGTATGTATATTCTCTAATGATAAGGAAATGGGAAATTACACATTAATTTTGCTCATTTTGCTATTAGAGAGCTCTTTAAATAACTTAGTGGGAGTTAAGACATAGGGATGGAGGATGTTTGATTTTGCAAATAAAATAGAGTTTAAAATTGTATCTTTTATGTTTGAAACCGATAGCAGTGAATCTTCAATCACATTAAAAATAGAATTTATTTTAGCTGAACTAATTAAGTCTGTAGTAATTTTAGAATTTTCAGAAAAAATGTAATTTAATTTTTCTATTTGTTTATTTAATCTAATTTCGTTATTATTTAATTGACGAATAGAAACATTCTGAATAACTCGATCGGAGGAGAAATCTGAAACAATTATTACATAATTTACGCTGGTTTTATTTCATTAACGTGGTATTTCACGTTTTTCCTATTTATGCATACAGTAACATTATTTTTGCTGTTAACCTTAATAATTTTAAAAGGTCCCTTCCAAATAGGAGACAGGGCCTTGCGCAACCTATGGTGCTGTTTAATATATACTAAATCACCTACTTTATAAGCTATTTCTCGCGAAGAGGCATCATAGTATCTTTTTGAAGATTCCTTGCTTTTATTTATATTTTCTAAAGCTTTTTCGCGGGAGTATTTCATTCTATATTGTAGAGCGCGAATGTACTCGTGATAGGTTGTATTTTTATCAGAGTTGTATATGCTACTAGGGATAAATGGCTTATGTCCGTACAATAATTCAAAAGGAGTAAATTCAGTAGTACAATGTGGAGTGGTATTGTAAGATAAAATTGCAGTAGCAAGATAACAGTGCCAATCGTCATGGTTCTCATTTACAAATGATTTTAAATATTCTTTAAGGGTAGCGTGACTACGTTCCAATGCGCCGTTTGTTTGGGGATGGTATGGACTCGAGAATATATTTTTTATTTTAAGGATGCTAGTCAATTGCTTAAATAACTCTGAAGTAAAGCATGAACCTTGATCAGTTAGAATCATTTTAGGAAACCCAAATAATGAAATAAAGTGAATGAGATTACGCGCGACTTCATCAGTCGTTGAAGTAATCATTGGATAGGCGCAAGAAAATTTGGTTAAGTCATCCTGGAGCGTTAGTATGTATTTAAATTTTTGAAGACCCGCTTCAGGTAGGACACCGACAATATCTAGTGCTAATCTTTCAAACGGCTTGGTGCTTGAGGACGTTATGACCATGGGTGCCTTATTACAAGTGCGCAACGGTTTATTAATTTGACATAGTGTACAATCTTTAACGAAGCGTTCTATGTCTGCACGCATATTTTTCCAGTAAAACAAAGATTTTATTCTACTATACATGCGTTTTATACCTGGGTGACCAGCTACGGTAGTCCCGTGGTTTTCTTTTAAAATGTTTGGAATCTCGGCTGGAGAAGGGTATTGTATTCGATTCTTGTATATGTGAACCTTAATATTTGTTCCATGGAAAATATAAGATATTATATTGTAAATTTTTAAGTATACTAACTTTGTAAATGGTTCCGAAAAGTCAGATAATGCTATCTCAGTATCATAATTATCTTTAGAAATAATTAAGTCCCTAAACTTACGTAATAAATTATAAATTGTCTTATAACTTGTCTCGTCATAATGATGAACCTTTGTGTAAAGAAAGTAAAACGTTTTATTGTTAGAGTCGACCGAGTGTACGGTTTCAGGTTCGCGTTCCGCTGATAACAACTCGGCAGTATTATTTATCATTGACAATAGCTGTTCGCAGTTCGGCATAGAGCAATCAAAGTCCAGAGAGACTGGACAAGCAATTATTTTTTGTTTTGCAGTATATAAACTTTGATTGTGCTCCTCAATTTGTGTATCATTAGAAATTGTTTTTGTAAATTGTTTCTTAAAAAATTGTTCATATGTAGTCTTATTTAATTTAGAATGCGTGATAGCGTTTACTGGGTTACGAGATAAAGCATCCGCATTTGAATTAATTCTACCTGGCTTGTAAACGATTTCATAATCGTATTCCTCTAATTTTAATCGCCATCTGAGCAAACGTCCACCTGGATCTTTGGCATTGAAAAGCCACGTAAGAGGGCGATGGTCTGTGACAAGATATAATTTCACATAACCTAGAAATCTTTAAAGCCTCGTAACAATTATTCCCGGCCTTGTAGATAAAAAAAAATTGGACAAACAATCTCAGGGAAAGATGGTGAATCGCTTTTGATATTTTTGATGTAAAGACGCTTCCAGATTGCGTGACATAAAAATTTGTATGGGCGTTCGCCATTGTTATTTGGGATAGCCGAGTTAAGTTATTGGCATGCGGACAGAAGATCAATCGAACGACATGCACCAATCCAAGATTATGGTTAATCTTGGATTCGAGATACATTATTATTATCGGGCGTAAGTCCCGACGCGGTCGAGACCAAGCGTTTTTAAGACGCGGGCTAAAGAAGGAGAGTTATAATAGTTGTCCATCCATGTGACCACTGTGTTCGAGGCCGCCCAACAATCGTAGTACTAAATTTGGGATATCCCCTACAATTATCCCTTCGCTATTCGAAAATTGATACCTCAGCACCTGTGTATACTTCAAACCTCCTCAAATATCCTGTGCGGGAGTCACACACATCATCTTAATCCCTACCGCCGACTTTTTGCTTGGAATATGTTGTTTAATATTAAGTCACCCCTTCCATTGAGTAAGCAACTTATCTAGTGCGACGTTTTGGTGGAGGTTAAATTAAGCTGAAAATTTGAAATTCAAGTGAGCTAAAAGCGGTACTATTTTGAATAGTGTATTATCGTTGAAATGAATACACCTATTTAGTAACTGAATCTGTTAAGCGACATACACTCGGCGTAAAAAAAATCGCACATCCGAAAAAAATTATTTAAATACTATTTTAACACAACAGGCCAATGGAAATTTTGTGGTTTGAGGGTATCATTCGAAAGGTAATTTCATAGCTTTCAGGAATTTTAATTGAGTTTTACTTTTATAAAGAGACGAAAGAGAAATTAAAGAAAAAGACAGTGTAGTAGTAGTAGTAGTATATACTTTATTGTACACCACACATATACTACGAATAAATACATTACAGAGAAAACTTAATATATACGTATGTACAATAAGGCGGTCTTATCGCTAAAGAGCGATCTCTTCCAGACAACCTTTGGGCTAAGTAGAAACTGGAATTAAGAACAGTAGGAGGTGGTGCGTTTTATGTTACACTTACATTCTAATATCTAAATAAACTAAACTATATTTTGTTGAAATACCACAATAATACATAAAAATAATAATAAAATAAACATACATATTAACAAATAGGTATATATATATATATATATATATATATATATATATACACATACATATATATACATAGATAATAAATAAATACAAAAAAAAAAGAAAAACACAGAATGACTATTTGTTGCTAGAATTGGTTATCAATAACCACAAAGTGCTAGGTAATGCTTCTTGACGTCACTTTTGAAACTTTCCAAAGTTTGCGCACGTCGAATTTAGAGTGGGAGTTCATTCCATAACCTTATGGCTTGAAAAGCTATCGAAAAAGAATATTTCATAAATTTTGTTCGAAATGAACATGGTTCTAGAATTAGTTCGCCGGCTGACCGAAGAACTCTATCAGGTCGATCATGACCAAGAAACTTAAAGTTTTCCTTCAAGTAGCTTGGAGTCAAAGGATTGAACAACACACAGTACAAAAGAGGTACAGTTTGCAGATTCCAGCGAAAGCGAATGGGTAACCACTTGAGCTGTAAACGATATTCGGATACATGATCATATTTGCGCAAACCAAGTATGAACCTAATTGCAATATTTTGAATTCGCTCAAGTTTGTTCAGTTGGTCTTCAGTTAAATCGAGATAACTTGCGTCCGCATAATCGAGAATAGAGAGAAGTAAGGATTACGCTAACATAATCTTAGGGTATGTACAAATTTGCAAATTAATAATTAAAAAAAAAACTTAATAAATACAAAACAAGTTCTTAAAACCTAGTGTTACCCCCCTCGCCTTTATAACGGCTTCCATGCGATCTTTCATGGACCTTACAAGGGTCGCAACAGCCTCTTGGGGTATTTGTTCCCACTCTTCAAGTACCGCATCTTGGAGCTCTTTTTCTTTTAGCAAATATTGTAAAAGTTGAGCTGATGCTGAAGTACATTCTTGGGTCCCTTTGAATCGCTTTCTTTTAGGTATGTTCGGAAACAAAGGAGAGTTTGCTGACGTATTTGTTGAAGAAGATTCTGGTCGGTTGGTGATATTAAGTTCTGGGTCATTCGGTGACATGGGAGAATCATCGTGATTTGACAACAATTCGTTAACATAAAAATTATCGTCAACTTTACTATCATCTTCCGTTAATGATGAAATTGTTTTTCTTTGTTTCATATGCGGCAACAAAAAAGACATCTCTTCTTCAAATTGCCATTTTTTTGATGAGGTAGCCTGACCACTTTTCGTGCGTTTCTTAACAACTGCCCTTCTATAGCTTTCTCTTAAGTTTGCCCATGTTTTCTTGCACTCTGATTCTGAAAAAGAAAAAAATCGAAGTGAAGAGATGTCTGTGTGCTAAGGTGTGTTTATTTTTGTTTAGAAATATTAATAGAGAAAGTTTTTTTTCAGATACATAATCACGGGAAGTTCAGCAAGAACGTTGAATTCAAGCTTTAGATTAGGCGAATCAACAATCCGATCAATTATACAAGAAGTATGTAACGCAATCATAAACAAATTGGTGGGAATTTTCATTCCAACGCCAATTGAAGAGCGGTGGAAAAGTATTGCTCAAGGATTTCAAAACAGATGGAATTTTCTAAATTGCATCGGCGCTATAGATGGGAAGCATGTCAACATCATAGCACCTGCTAATAGTGTACTTTTCTGTTGTCCTATTGGCTGTGGTTGATGATAAATATAGATTTATAATAGTTGCCATAGGTGCTTTTGGTAGAAATAGTGACGGTGGAATATTTGCATCTTCGAAATTAGCGAGACGTCTTGAAAGGCTCTGTACCTACAATACCTACCATTGGACATGATTTAGAGCTCCAGGGGAGCCCCAGTCTTCCCACCAACCGAGTGGAGACCACACATCGTTGTGAACCCGAGTCCAATAGAGCGCGAACAGTTAAACAGTCGCCACTTGGGTTGTACACCTTCACTGAGGCCGTCGGCAATAGAACAGTTTGACAAGTGGACTGTGGACGGCTTAAAGGATCAGTGAAGGTGGCCGTGGTGGGAGCTAGGGCGGCGGCTTCCTATAGCTGCCTCCATCGGACAGACACTCAAGCCGGGGGTCCGGAAAGCGGCATTCCAGCGGCATCTCACAGACCCGTGGGTGAAAATCGCCGAATGGGCCGACCTAAAGAGCGTCTCGCTGACCGCTGAGTGGCAGTAAAGTTCCTCTCAACCCGCTGAGTGGGGGGTGACGAACCCCCCGCCCCTGGGGGGAACTACCCCCCGACTGGTCGTGGGAGGGACCCCCTCCAAAACCAGGGGCAAGGTTGCCGGCCGGAGACCGACGAGCGTCAAAGAGCGCCCCCGCCCGTGGGGGATGAGGGCCCGGCAGAGCCTCGAGAGGAAGCGCCATTCGCACCCAGGCATAAAATGGCGTGGTGATTGCCTTGGCGGTGCGGACAGGGCCGCTGGTGCGAGCAGTCTCGTTGCAGGTGCCTTTCCAAACATGAGTAGCACCAGCGGCGCTCCTTGTCGATGGTTCGCCTCGCCGGGACCGGCTTACCCAATAACTTCGGGCACAACGTCACCCGGTGTTCGGATGCTCTACAATAGCAGGGGGGCGCCTCCCTGGCCACTAGGCCACTATAAGAAGGTAGGGGGCGACGCCCTCCCGCTGGAGCACCACTCGGTCTGAGGGGGGTTGACGACGACTTGCCCGGGGGGTCCGCCTCTCCCTGGGCACGGTTTGGTTGGCAGTCCGTAGTTCTTTGACGGTGCCCGCTGCGTTTTCGATCTGCCGGCACTGCTCCTCCAAGAACCGCAGCAGATCCCTGAAGGGAGGAATATAGGAGGCGCCGTCTCCGCCGTACCTCTCCTCAAAATGGAGCTGAAGATCGAGAGGCAGGCGGGACAGCACAATATGGAGCAACAAAAAGGACCATTTGTCCACCGGCAAATCCAGCCGTCTCAACGAATTGCAGGCCACTAAGACCGGATTTACGAGGTCCGGTCGTAGTCTGGCCCGGTTCTTTAGCAGCGGGAGGTTCAACAGTAGCTTGACGTGCTCGTCCGCTATTCGCCGTACGTTGGCATACCTTCCGGCAAGGAGGTCCCGAGTGGTCTGGTAGGCGTCGTCCGACAATTTCAAATAGCCGACGACGCCTAGGGCCTCCCCCTCCAGTGAGGCCAGGAGATACGCCATTTTCTGGCTTTGTGTTAAATCCATCCGGGCGACCACTAGGCTATCAAAAAGTCCCACAAACGTTAACCATTCGGAGAGGACCCCGGAGAACCTTGGCAGGTCCAGAGTTGGAAGTCGTCCCAACAGCTCCGGCTGAGTAGACTGCTTCCGAGGGGACTCGAGCAGGCCACTCAGCTTAGCCTCACGCGCGTCACTAGCTTGCTTGGCCCCCGCCTCAATCAGGTCATCCGTGAGAGCAAAAAATTGCTCATAGTCAGCGAGGCAGGAGTCTAGGACTCCCTGTTCCGCTCCCGAGGCCATAAGCTCGGAGCATGGCTCCTCCACTACGGCCCTTCGGGCCATGACTTGCTCGAGCCGCTTCTTCAAACTATGGATTCGATCTGGTCTCCCTATCAAGCTGTGAGTATTCGCAGCCCAGCGCAGTTCCGCTAGCAAGCGGAGCGTCGGTGACCGGTGCGAAGACATCATTACAAGATACATTTATCACCAAATTAAATTCAGTACAAATTACTCTACACAATTAATTTAATTATTACAATTAAATTAAAACAAATACAAAATACTATTTATCAAATCAACAAATTATACTACGCAATTAATTTAATTAGTATAAATACGGTTCATCAAACATGATTATTATAACGACAGTACAATAATTCACCAAATTGCAATTGCCACACTTATATGGCAACGGTAATTATAAGCCCTACTCGAGTGGCGCCACTCGAAGCGGAGTGTTTAGGTACCGCCACTCGCGTGGCGGTACTTAAACACTCCGCTTACGCCGCCTTACGGGCGTGGCTCAATTCTACCTACCACTAACAAAGTAAGCGACCAAAGAAAAGTAAAGAAACAAAAAATATTTTTATTACGTGGTTCTATACACCGATCCTATCCGCTAATAAATAATTCGCGAACAAAACAAAAAAATTATTATTATTCCGTACTGCAAACAAAACACAATCAACAGCAACGTGGTTACAACCGCTGTCTTGCTACCAACTTTACGCATTGCGCAGGGAGACCACGCTCCTGCTATCATATTGTTACGAGCTTGAGGTTCGTGACAATAAAAATTGCCGATAAAATTACCTAAATTAACACTTTAATTTACTTTAAACAAATTAAAGTTAAAAACACTAATAAGTAAACACACTAATTCACTTAATTTCGTTCCGAAGCTTCGCTTGTTTCGCCCAACTCAACACTACTCTCATCGCATCTTGCAGCGCCTATATATTTAAATTAGCAAAGAAATATCCAGAATGTTCAAGTAAACACGCGGAAAATACCGAGCGTTCGAGTTTCGACTAGGCGCTGTCAGTTGAGCGATTTGTGATGTCATTTTCTCAATGCTCCCCTCGCTCTCGTTCCTGACACTAGATGGCGCTAGTTGACTTATTCATGCAACACTGCCCCCTCCTAAGACATGCTCGTCCCGAGCATTATCGGTCCCATAATAACGCGCCAAGCGATCCACATGGACGATCTTAGGAGTCCCTCTTGCGCCTTTCTGTATCCGGTAGGTCACATCGTTGATCCTGGTTACAATCCGGTACGGGCCGTCCCATTTAGCTTGAAGCTTAGGAGATTTCCCTTTGCTGCGGACTGGATTGTGCAACCACACAAGTGAACCTTCGTCGAACCCTTTGTTGTTCATTTTGCGGTCATACCGGGTTTTCATCTTTTCAGACATTTGCTGGCCCGATTGTCTGACGTGCTCATAAACGTCATTCATTTTTTTCCGCAAGTCATTTGCATAATCGGTTATACTGCGTGGAGCATCGGGTGGTATCCCGGTGATCAGGTCTGCAGGCAGCCGTAATTCTCTTCCAAAGTTTGCGAAAGCTGGTGTCACTGCTGTACTTTCGTGAACAGAACTTCGATATGACAACAAAAACGGTTGTATGTGCTTGTCCCAATCTCGTTGCCGATTGTCTACAACTTTTGCTAGGTACCTCTCCAATGTCTGATTAAATCGTTCCACCATTCCATCAGATTGCGGGTGATAAGAAGTCGTTCTTGTTTTATGAGTACCCATAACTCGGCAAGTTTCCTGGAATATTTGAGACTCAAAATTCCTTCCTTGATCGCTGTGAATCTCTAAAGGTACTCCAAAACGACAGAAGACTTCATGAACTAGTTTATCTGCAACTGTTGAAGCTTCTTGATTTGGAATGGCGAAGACTTCTGGCCACTTAGTGAAGTAATCCATCACAACCATGAAATACTTGTTACCGCTTTCACTCTCCGGAAACGGCCCCGCCACGTCAATGGCTATTCTCTCCCATGGTGCACCAACATTGTACAACTTCAATGCACCTCTACTACGAGTCTGAGGTCCCTTTATAGCCGCACAACTTGTACATTTGCGACACCAGTCCTCGACATCGTTTCGACAGTGGACCCAGTAAAACCGTTCTCGGATCTTCAGTAGAGTTCGTTTAACTCCCAGATGGCCTCCTGAACAATCATTATGGTACAGCTGTAGAACATCCGGTACTTTAACTTTAGGGACAACCATTTGCAAATGACAGCTGTCTCCCCGAACGTTTTCCCATTTACGACACAGAACTCCATCCTGAAGCAGCAAGCTGTCCCACTGGGCCCAATAGCTTTTAGTGGTCGAACTCATCGCTGAGACGTCACTCCACTTGGGCTTGGGAGCACTGGCCTTTATCCATTCCAGAATCGGCTTGATGTCCGGATCTTCCTGCTGTGCATGTAGTAAGCTGTCCTTCCACTCGTTGCTGAGGTGGTCTGCCCTGAGCATCCTCACGGATACCACTTCCTTACTCTCTTGCCTAGTACAATGTTTGCAATCTTCGGGACAAGGTCTTCTTGACAATGCATCTGCGTTGCCATGAGATTTCCCGCTGCGATGTTCGATCTCAAAGTCGTATTCCTGCAGTAGTTCAATCCACCTCGCAACTTGTCCTTCTGGGTTTTTAAACTGCAATAGCCATTTTAGTGCAGCATGGTCAGTTCGTAAGTGAAATTTTCGTCCCAGAAGATATTTGCTAAAATGTTGCAACGACTTTACCACAGCTAGCAATTCGCGTCTTGTGACACAGTAGTTCCTTTCCGGTTTTGACAACGACTTGCTGAAGTACGCTATCACGACCTCTTGGTCACCATTACGTTGAGACA